ATACAGGGGTACAGGCAATATACAGGGGTACACGTAATATACAGGGGTACAGGTAATATACAGGGGTACAGGTACTCCTAGAATGAGATCCTAATAGGTTGGACTTGATGGACTAATGTCTTTATTCAACCTCAAATACTATGTAACTATGTAACATTGCTACAGTACATAGACTGGGACCATTACAGCACCATCTTGTGGTCAGTATTGGTAATGCAGGAATAGGATTTGACTATCAATTTCTAAGGACATATTACAATCTCTTTTCATAAATATGATGACAGTATACAGAATATTAATCTAGTATACGGAATATTAAGCCAGTACAGTAATACCTTGGTTTACGAGCATAATTCGTTCCGGCAGCATGCTTGTAATCCAAAGCGCTTGTATATAAAATCAAATTTCCTCATAGGAAATAATGGAAATTCAGATGATTCGTTCCACAGCCCAAAAATATTCATATAAAATGATTACAATACTGTACTGTAATATAATACTGTACAAAATATAAAGAAAAATAAACCAATTACAGATACCTTTGTGGCCGGTGTGAGAGGGACAAGAGAGAGGAGGATTATTGTGCAGGACGACTTTCACTAACACTAACGGAATCACTGCGATCTCTTGGCTCAATGGAATCTTTTTCATTTCGTGAAACCTTAACAAGGAATCTATCCAATGTGACATTGCATTGTCGTTAAACAGACTCATCGCTCGCACTGCTACAGCCTTATTCGGGTGGCGCTTTTCTACAGAATTTTGCTCTTATTGCAAGACATCGCTTGTACATCAAGGCAAACTTTTTCAGAAATGTTTGCTTATCTTGCAAAACGCTCTCAAACCAAGTTACTTGTAAACCAAGGTATTACTGTATACAGAATATGATGACAGTATATTACGGCCGTTCCAGCCCGTCATTCCTTACCCGGGTCTCTGTCGTTCTGTTCTGGCCCGCAGATCCTTTTCTTTGGTGTGTGGCTGAGAAAGAGAACAACGCACAGCGTCACTTACAAGGCAAAATGTTATAATTTGTCATCCGGTATGTACATGGGGTGCATGAGGGGGGGGGGGGCGGCGATATTTATTTT